TAATAAATCGTCATATAAAACATAAACCCAAAACCATCTCACCTAAAAACTGACCCATCCAACCTCCCCTCTCTACCGTCATACTGAAACGATATCCGTAGATATCAGCACGGGAATTAGAGACGACTAAATAATACTCAGTTTAATTACTCCCCCAACCCACTGTTGCAGGTAAAGTCGTAGATTACGCCTAATCACGATCAACCCGTGACAACAGTCAAACCTCGATACATGTATAACGAAACCTGAATACATGTATATGGGTTAGTTAATCATGAATATTGTTGGAAACACAAAAATGAATCACTAGATGACTGTCACGTAAAACATATAGTCAAATTTGGTGGCGGAAGTATTATGATCTGGTGTTTTTCTTCCTTCGATGTTGGTAACATCGTACGCATTTTTTGCACTATGAATAAGGAATTATACTGCGAAATTTTGAATGACGACTTGTTAGTTAGATAAGAATAATATCATTTTCCAACAGGATAACGATCTGAAACATACGGAACAATGTTGAGAAGATTAGAAAATCCAGTTCGTACTCGAAATGAGTTATGGGAAGCTATTCAAAAAATATGAATAGAAACGGATCATGACTTTTTAACTAGTCTAATTGAAAGTATGCCTGAACGAATAATGATGTAATTGAGGGTAAAGGAGGGTATACAGAGTGGTAAAGAATAGTTTATATAAATTTCGTAAATTTTTAGTCGTTAGCTACTTAAATATCGATTTTAAATTATTTACATTGTAAACAGTCAAAAAAAACGCATCATGTAAAATTGCATCGATTATTATTATTTTAATTTACTGATTATTAACCAAGTAAAGAATTATATTTACATGTTTTTTAAAATTTAGTAAATAATATCGATATGTGTCGGAAATTGCGAGTTTCAGATGTTTGTCTGTAATGTTATCGTTATTGAATTTCTAATTTTATTTTTGTGTGATGCAAAAAACTTGACGGCCACTGTAAATAAGATAGGATTCCAGTAAAATTTGCATTCCGCACAGTAGATTCGCTTGTAAATAAGAAAAAAATTATGAGTAAAGAGATCTTGTTAATTTACCTTTCTTACGAGTGGAAAGAGCAAAACAAATAATCTGAACCCGAGAAAAGATTCAACTGAATACATGCACATGTACATGTATTACGTATGTACTTCTATCTTCTCGTACCATTGATTTGATTTCCATCATATGAAATTACTTCTCCTTTTTCCTAATTAGCATAATATACTTTGCAAAATTCGTTTTCGTTAAAATATTCTATACTAAATTGCTCAGATGGAATCCATTCAATCCAATCATTATGATAATTGTTATACATGTAATTTACTAAAGTTAGTACATCAATTTTGTCATTGCCACTAGTCCATTATGTAAATTCACATTTGGGCAAAATTCAAAGTGGTAATTCAACCTTAGTTGATATGAAGAAGTGTTTTGTTGAATCTTCGGATCTATTAGACATTGTTATGATGATTAACGATAACGATAACGATAATGATAATGATAATAACGAAACGATAACTCCAGGAATGTCAGATCTAAACTCCGATTAACGTTAACGTTATATGTGCTGGTATGTAGTATAAACGATAACGATAACGATAAGCATCACGATTTTTATATTTTAAGCTTAACCAAAAATTATGAAAACTACGCATAAACTTTATTTAACCGAAAATTCCAATTAAAATAACGAATTATAACGATAATTAGAAAACTGAAATAATTCTTTTAAATGAATTGGTACAACATAAATTTGAAAGCGGCGAATATTTTGACATTGTTGTCGATAAGTTAAAAGAAATGTGCTAATTGACAATATGAAATTAAAAAGAAAAGATTGATCTAGCATTATTACAAGGTTAATATTTTTACTTTATAGGGTTCATTGTTTTATTCTGATTTCTTCAGATCCATCATACTATAAAAACTCTATGATCGAAATTTCTATTTAGATAAACAATACGTAAATAACTTTAATTCAGAAGACATTTTTCTTATTGGAAAAATTTATCATATGGGGTGATTAGTAAAAACTAAATACGTAAATCAGTAAGGTCGATTTGTTTGACTCACCCCCGTATTATATTTTAGGCGTATCTAATAAGATGATTTTACATATCGATATGATTATACATAATAGTAGTGAAATATAGATAAACTATTTGCTAGCGCTAGCCAATAGATCTATGTACATGTATAACAAATATGTTTCAACCTTCAATTCAAGCACAGAAATACTTATCGAACAAAAAAATATGTTCCACAAATTCTATCGATATTCATTTTGAATGCTCAGAAAGATTTTAAAATAGAAATCACGACGCACATCTATCGATGTACGACCTGCCGTCAAATTAAAAAGAATAATCTTGTGCTTAGCAAACTGACAAAAATGGAAAAAAGTTCAAGAAAGTTTCTTTTTATTAATTTATTCATGTTTGCTGAGAATGGATTATTTTATGTCTCATTGATATTAATTTGCTGAGCATGTATTATTTTTATGTCATTGTTATTGTTATTGTTTTATAAAGAATTAAATTTCGCTTCCTATCAAAATACATGTACATCTAAATTATTTATCAAAAGAATGACGATTCAAGCAAAGAGACAAACAAGCATAAAAAGAAGAACAATGTAAGCAACTGATTTTTCTTTGCTTAATCTCAATATTATCAAGCAAATTTAGATGATACAAGAACATTAAGAATATTACTTATCCCTTAGTATGATTAATTTTTAGCTATTTGTCAAAGTAGAATACCAAATTTATTAATTTATGATACGCGTTATAGAACTAATTTTAAATTAGTTTTCTCCTTCTTTGTTAGAATGGGCATCTGTCATTCTTCTGGCGTTTTCCATACATGCATTATGACTTTTTTGACATTTGATCACTAATCCATATCCGGATCGCAAATTAATTTATCAAATCAGCCGAAATTAAGATGCACATGTTTTTAGAGATTAACTACCGCTACGTTTCATACAATCAATGAAAAGCTTAATTTTGAGACTAGACATTTTTTTCTCTGAAAAATTTTAAGATTATATAAAGGCTTGAACTGCAATTTTTTGTTGGACATATTGGTCTGACATTTTTGTCTTTAATAACAAATGTACAGTATTTAACTTATACACTCACTCACTTTAGCATAATTAAAACTATATTCTCTTTAGTTTTTAGTTTTAATGATCAACACTATCTTATAACGATAAATTCTAACGATAACGATAATGAGCAACAACATGAACATCGATAATACAATTAATATATTGCCATTGTCGCTATCCACTATTGTAATTATAACGTCAGTTAGCCTTACTATAAATCTCTGTGGAGTTTTATTCATTTTTTGGCAAACTTTCTTGAAGTGGAAGAGTCGAGGCGTCGAGCGTCTACGACTTTACTATCGATTTCCATTTTATATTGCACTAATTAGTTTTGGGATAGGGTTGATTGATTGCATTAATTTGGTAATAATTTATTAGTTCAGTATTAACGTTAATATATCGATATCGATATTAATTTCTTTAACATAAAAATGTTCATTTTTAATCAGGGATATCCAGCAATATACTCTCATGTTTGGCCTGATCCATTTTGTACAATAATTGGTTTCGGTTCAGTTTTCATTACTTACCTCAGTCAATTTTTGTTATCCATTGTCGCCGTTAAGACTTATCTCAAAGGTTAATTAATAAACAAAGACCAGAAAATTTTATTTATCTATGAAATAATTAAACTTTTTGAATTTTAGTTGAAAAAATTTACAACCTTGATTTCGGAATCTACGACTGGAAATTATTTTTTCATGCGGTCAACTTATCACTATTGGTGACTATCTTACCATTCGCCAGTCATGGATATGGCGGTCAGAATACCTGGTGTGCGGTTAAACAGGAACATCGAATCGAAGCATTTATATTGAATGGCGTGTCGTTTGTGAACATGATTATTGCAGTCTACTGTTACTTTGGTTTGGTGATTAAGTTGAGAGCAAGAGAATCGGAGAAAAGGAAAAGTTTTGATCTGAATCGAATAGACGAAATGGAAGACCAAACGACGAACATGATGGTAAACTATTTTTTGGTTTCCATACTTCAATGGGTACGTTTCTTTGCTATTTTGGTTTTTCTTGTCAGATCAACTAATAGATTTTGTTGTAAGTTTGCTTAATTAATTGGTTAATTGATTTGATAGGTCTCTGTTTCTGTCTTTTCGATAGGATTTATTTTTGAGGTAAGAACGTTGCTACATTCTTGATAGCAGTATATTTCCAAAAATTTATCATTATTAATTTGTGTACATAGCACGCAGAGGTATGGACACTGGTCGCAACGGCAATCGCAATAAATATTGGAGGTATTGGAAACGTAATCGTCTACGCATTGAACGAAAAATCTTTAAAGGACCAAAGTTCCTCAAACAAATTATCACATTTAAATGATGTAATGATTTCTGTTCATAAACAAATTACTTCACGTACAGACCGTGCGAGTGTCATTAATACGACTTATCACTATGCTAGTCCAACTTGGTATACTTTTGGACTTGCATAATAATGCGAAATTCAGACGACTTTGGTTTCTCATCTTCGTTGACTACGAATGCCATGAGGGAGGGGGGAGCTTTTACTTGATTTCTTGTACATGTATACTTTTTTATATAAAGGCCAATTGAATAAAGATTTTTTGTATCATAAAAATTTGCTCAATGTTTATAAACAAAATACCCAATAACGATAATCTATTTTTCTCTTATTAGAAAATTTATTATTATTTTCCTTACTATAGCTACATCAATAATGTCACTATTATCCAAAAAGTCCAAGTATCTGTTATATCAATTACTAAAGAAAAAAGCCATTTACTCTATGAGCTGCTGTAACACTGAATACGAGTTTAATAAATAGATAAATGACATCTATTTAGAGTATTTGAGAATGGTGTAATTCAGAACGCTAATACTATTCATGTTGAATTAAAAGACAATTCATGTGGGATAATAGCAGCTACAAAATTCAATGTATGAGTCAGTGGTTATTTTGATATTCAGAATGTGAATAATAATTGAATATAAGAAGACATTGTTGAGAATATGCCATTGCCATCAGAGGAAATTATTTATATCGACGAGAAAGGATTATTAATAAAAAAAACTTTTACTCGAAGTGGTATTTTGAGGTTTATAACAATTAGTGAATAATTACAAATCAGCCGAATTCTTTGACAAGCAAATGTTACTTTCATCATGATTGTGTTTTTGAGGTCGAATTTATAAAATAAAACCAAATTCAGAAGGAAACGGAAATATAAATATTATCGATGAGAATTTTTGTGCTTCACTTAGTAAAAAAATTATCATACACATGAGTAAAATAAACGGTGACGGTAATAATATAAATAGAGAACTGTGTATCTCTGTGAAGAGCATTACCAATCTTATCGCTATATCTTCAACTTCGATTATGGTAACGTGCATAAGAATTTCCCATGAAAAATGACATATTATGTCTGCAACATGCCTTTTATTTTTTACAACAACTGGATAGTATTATCCATAATCTTTTAATCCGGTCCATGTTTTATTCTTTAAATTCGAATATCCGTTATAAATTCTCGAATTTATCACTTATCCATCCGGATATTCGCTGGATGTATTCGATTTGAATTTCATATCAGTAAAGTGATAGAAAGATAGAACATAGCATACATAACAAGTGATCAATACCATTTTTTGCAGGACCACCTGTTTTATATTTTTCACTACAGGGAATGTTTGTGCCTATGTAATTTAATGTACACATTGCCATTGTTCACCATCACGAATTTCTGAATTAAAATACTCCCAAACCAAACTGATTTTTGGTTTTCCACCAGTAGTATATTAGTTGAAATACTAGAATCTTTACTCTTTCTTGTAAATCATTTATCATTTAATTTAAGTAATTTTACTTAAAAATATAAACGAGTTAACGTTATTGCATGCGCAGCACATTTGTAAAACGGATCATCTGGATGATCCGTTTCATTGATTGAAAGGTTTCAAATTGGATATTTGACGGATTGATGTGTCCGGCTTGTAACACTACAATTATGGACAATTGCAATCAATTAAAATTATTATAAAAATAATTGTGATCAATTAATAATTAATAACAAAATAATTGCAATTAATTGCAATTAATTTCAATTTTTACTTTCACTATAAACTTTGCTAAGATATAAGCTTTAGACTTTACACATTCTATTTTTTATGTAATTGAAACTGAAAAAATTAATCGCATCCGAATACAGCAAATTACCATTGATTGTAATCATATCTATAAGCATATAATATATATAGAAACCTATTGTTTAATTTGGTGATCATCTTGGATTGACCACATTTTGCCATTCATTCTTAGTAGCAAAAGATTTTCCAAGGTATGCGGGTCAAGAGAATTTTTCCAGTCTGTATAGTAGTATTTAACAAGCGAAAACAAATGTTCTACTGCATTAGATGTAGGAGGAATAATGTTTATGTCCATGTACTAGTTTGCGCTTCTTTGCAACTCGTCTGTTGTTAGCACAGTTTCTTGTTTGCGCAAGACTTTGATCACAGCCTTTTCGAAAATGGGATCATGAATTATTGGTGCCTTCTTTCCTAATTGGCTCTCTAAGCCTGGACATTCTTCTATCAACAAATTAAAATAAGCACGAACATCGTCTAAATTTATAGATTCATTTGTTGCTGAAAATCCATTGGTCTGAGTAACATGGTGAATAAGTACTTTACATCGTTTAATCATTTTCATGACACTCATCCAACGAGTTGCATTGTCTAATATAAGTTTTAAAGATATTACCTTTGCGAGTTTTCCACAGTTTTTATAAGTTCGCATCATATATACGATTGTATGAATTTGGTTCACAAGAGTAGATGAGAAATTAATAAGGTCATTAACCGCCAAATTTAGATGATGTGATGCATATCCTACAAGTGGAAGGTTCGAATCACTGGCTATTTTTCTGTTGGTGCTACGTTGTCTCCGGAGAGAAAAAGGATATTTTCAACGCCTTTGCCATATGATTCTAAAACATCTTTAAAAAAACTCAACATGTGCATCTACATTCTGGATAGTACGATCTTCAAATGACGAAAATGCTAGCAAGACCAAATTTCTAGATACATGAACTGTTTGATAGATACCAAACAACCCAACAAAAGTGAATGCTATTATTCATCCATCCATCCAATCTTTTCTGGAAAAGCGTTTTTCACTCTTTTTCGTACAATATTTGCCAAGCCATCAATGTACTTGACAACTGCAGAAACGTCTAATTTTGAAAGACTAGTGTGCGAGACAAACTCAGAATTCTCACATGCATTAAGAGGTAATTGGCACTTTATAATAAGACTCACCAGTTAAAAATATTGAGTACACTTGCGCTGTAGTTAAACATATTAGAGTTTACTGTAGAAAAGGTAATATTTCCAATACGTTGTTGGTAAATTAACTTGAAGTTTTCATGTCTTGCATCTAAATGATTCATTAAATTTGTGTAACCCGTTCCTTTTTTTTGGGTGATCCGGAAGGACATAAGTTACACTGATGCTTTCTGTCATTTGCAGATCCTCTCCTCTATGTAACACTTGTTCGAAATTTTAGGCTCATTCGAATGGATTCCTTTTGAAAGATTGACCGATGTTGAATATCTTGCAGAAGGAGGCTTTGGATCAATTTATAAAGCAACCTGATTGGACGGACCATTACCTTACCCTTACGAGTGGGATCATCAAGAAAATAGATTTAAACGAGCGAAGTTGTGTTGAAATTATTACACAATTTATAAAATGAGCACCTTTTAAAACGTAAGCATATTGTAATATAAATAACTTTTAAAAATTAGATTCAGACTGCTCTAAGATGCGCTGGTATTAGTTATTATGGAATAACCAAAAACACAGCTGCAAATGAAATATATCGATATGAATTCAAAATACGAAGAACTGACTTAGAGACAAAAGTAGGATATTTATTTGATATTATTCGAGGGTTGAATAAAATTTACAATAAGGAATTCGTGCATCGTAACTTTCACCTGGAAATATATTAATGCATAATTATTCTCTAATTGCTGATTTTAGACTCACCAAACCAGCAGATATAGAGAATTATACTCAAAAATTTGTGTGTACTTCCTTATATGAGTCCGGAGGTACGGAATGGAAAGCTATACACGAAAGCTGCAGATATTTATAGATTTGGGTATAGATCTCGTATTGAAACACGACCTACGATAGCAAATAATGTTCCTAGTGGTGCAAATTTATTATTGAAAAATGTTGGGATCCTATTCCAGAAAACAGATCAACTGTTGAGGAACTTTTTTACTTTCTCTTCACTTTCCACTTCTATTCAGGAGAGAATCTGAACAATTTGAATTTTCAGTACTAAAACTGTTTAGCACGTCCTAAAACGCATGAAGAAATTAAAGAGTGTCTTAAATTAGAAAAGCAGAAATTGAAAGAACTTGATGAGAAGATGGAATCACAAGCAAGTATTTCTACTGCTGCGAATATAAACTAAAAACTAAAAATCCACCAAAATGCAGTTTACACCAGATTCGATTCCAACTGAGACAGGTGCATTTTATTTCGTAATATATTCAAGTTTCGTTTCGTATTAATTAAATTCATATCGAATTTTAGGGTTAACAAGTGTCAGTTGTATTTTCAAAACGAAGTCAAAATTGTTTATTACATTATTTTATTGACTTCATTACTATTTTTCTTTGGTATTACAAAACAGATTTAGATGAAATTAACAAAAATGAAGATATATCGAGTTTCTTTCGTACAAATTCATGATGAAACACCTAAATAAATTAAGACAATTTCAAAAGAAGAAATCAGCAACTACTTTATTCTTTAAATCGATATCTTCACCATTATCGTTCTATTGATTATTTAATATTACTTTATCAAAATTTATTTATTCATTTTCTCAATCCACTTTATATTAGTATACATGGTCTTATATAGCAATTGGTAGTTTATTCAATTACGTACATATAGTTTCGTTTATCACGTGCATTTGTGAATTGTCATTTACATATGTTTATAGTACATGTACATGTAACACAGTAAACTAGAAATTATGAATTTACATTAAAGCAAAATTCTTAGTACTATTAATAATGTTATGTTCCTTAACATTATCGTTATTGCTGTTGAAAAGAGTCGTCATCGTTCTTTTTTAACACAGACGAAACGCATTACGTAATCTACAACATGTATTTGATGCCTTAAAAGACAAGCCTTTATTATTTACACACAAATAGAACTTCTTTGATGCGTTCTGTCTCATTTCATACATAAAAATCGATCTAATCAAAAACACATGTGATATGTTTATCGTTAATACATGTTTTACGTCAATAATTATAAATGATGCTTATTTAATCTTTGAATTTAATCTTTCTAATACTTAATATTTATTTGCGGTAAACGAAAAGCAAATATACGTACACGTATATTTATTATTAAATGACAACTTTTAGCACATCTATTCTAATGAGTAAATTTTAATAAAAATTCTGGCCTTTAATAAATAATATAAATGTCATTTCATAACAAATTTTATTAATAATCCCATTCAATTTATTACATAGTAAAGCAAAACAGCAGGAATCAAAAATTCAATTATATATATCTCTCTTTTCTACTATGTAAGTGTATTACAGTTTTATCAAAAGCGATTTAGCGAAGACCTGCGGAAAGATATAAAATGGAATACGAAATATAGGAAATAGAAAAAGATGATAAAATTCATAATTTTATAAAGGAAATTTAAGGCAAGTAAATCGCTTACATTCCGAGCTTCAAATCTGCTGATTCTAAAAACGATTAAAAAGAATCATTAAAATTGCAGCCTATTCTTTTATTTTGAATAGAAAATTAAATGCATACTTTACCAAGGGGGTTTCAATTGCTTGTATTCCTCAATCATCTAGAAATAATAAATTCTATGTCAATGGTTATCTGTGGATTATTATTTTTGTTGAGTTTGTTCGTCGCAGCAACATCTATGTATTTTGATGAATTTGAAGAAAATAGTAGATAGATAGTAACCGAATTCAAGTAAAACATATTCTTACCTTCTCTTTTGATATATTGATTTCTATGCTTATAAACAGGGATGCAATTTTTCCTGTCTTTATTAAATCTCCTTTGATAAACTTCACCAGCCAAGTAATTGATCCGTTTACATGTATATTGCCGAGGATATGTATTCGTTCGGTGTCTCAAAAGGAATTGAACCCGATAGTGCTTGCATAGCAATTTCCAGTATTTGAGGTCACGAATTACATTTCTCTTGAGTTGATAGTTGCCCAAGAATCGCAAATACCACTCTATTGATTTTTTGATGTTGGTTGGTCCCTTGTATTCAATGAATTTACACAAGTTTCCAAGATTAATGGGTAGGTAGCTTCCATCTGCATTTATCCAATTATACTTTTTTGCGAGCTTTAGGTAACATTCTCCTATTTGCTCAGCGCGTGTCTTTGGTGATGATGTTTGATGTTCCATTTGTTTTATATAGGGAGATAATTACGTGGGAATGGATATATAAGAAATGGAAGACGAAAATTGTAATAGCTGTATTTTAAATACTAAAATTTTAATTAATCATGTCTCGTATTGCATGACATAAGGTTTTTTTGTTATATTGTTAATTCTAGTTAAATTGCATAATGAATCATAACATTTAAAATACACTACGAGTTCGAAATTTAATCCTTATTTTCTAGGCCTTTTTCTCATGTAGTTATAACGATAGTGATAGTCCCCAAATTTACAATTTTTGGTTAGAGCCTAAAATTCAAATTAATCCGACCGATTGATGTTTTATCTACATGTACGTAAAATGTATGCTTTTACCTTTCTGAGTAAGTTTACACGATCAATTGTATCTTAGTTTTTTATATAATGGTAAGTAAAACACGTGAAATTAATCTAGAAAAAACAAAACTATTCTTCCAAACTCTTTATGATAAAGTTTTTGATTTGCCCAAGAAATTTATTATAAGGAGCATTAGTGCAATATATGTAATAAGATGAATCATTATTCCATTAAAATTAAATGATAAAAAACTTTTTGAGAAGCATAACCTTAATATTTCTGCCTCATAATCACTCAGTTCCGAAAATCCCCAGCCAAGATGGAAAATCGCACATTCAATATAATTGTAGTTTTCGAACTAAACATAAATTTGTGACCTTTTTCTATATTAAATATTGCATCTCTTTTTATTTGATTAATAGATCAAATCTTCTGCACATCCAACTGAACATGCTCTTCAGATCCTTCGTCGAATTTTAATACTGACTCAGAATTATATACTGTATCCAGTACTTTTCCTTAATATACTCTCGTATTATGGAATCCATTCAACCATTGAAAGAATATTCACATTGAACTTGCTTTTATATAATAAATTTATCAATTTCATTTCACCATAACATTGTCTTTAGAAAAATCTCTCGTTGTATATAGAATTCCGATAAACTATTTAGAAATAATGCAATACTGAATTATTGTCTCTAATTTATTATGTTCAGGGTGGGTGACCAGAAGTCACCCAACACTAAAATAGCTTTATAATAACTTTAAAATAAAATACTCAGCCAATATTTGTTTTTTTATATAAAATAACTATCAAAATGTTGACAAATCCAATGCACTAAAAATAATTATATTCTAATTACATGTACTAGATTTAGGATTGTTAATAAATCACTCCAAATCATATTAAACATACAGTAACTCACTAAAAAACGGAACACAGGAAAAAAATGGTGAAATACAAATATCTTGCCATTTAGGAATTGTATGCAGTAAAGCTAAGCGAATTTTATTCATTGATATTATGATAATTGATATTAACAAATTTTTTTTGGAAATCATTTAAAAATTAATCGTTCTTTTTAAAATTTTTTTAGCATTCCATGTAAATCATCCAATTTCAAAAATAATATTTAAAGGTATAATTCTTTTTATTAAACTAATAATAACTAGAAAAAACACAAATTAACAAAATACAATATTACACTACAATTTTGTATAACCACCCTTTATCTTAATAACATTATTTACTCTTTCTGGCATCGAAACAACCAACTGTTCACAGAAGTCTGCTTTGATGCCATTTCACGCAATCTGGAGCTTCATCCACAAATTGTCTTTATTTGAAAGTGGATTAAAAAGGTGTCATAACCACCAGTCAACCCATTCCAAAAATTTTTAATGGAGCTCAGAACAGGAAATTGAGTCAATCAATCAAGCAAATTGATCTCATTATCAAGAAACCAGTTTCACACTTTTCTTGATACATGTTTAGAATTATTATCTTGCTGGTAAAAGATTTCTTCTTTATCCAGCTCTTTTATTAATAGTGAACCTAATAGATTCTCATTTAATATTAATATAAATATCAGCATTCATTTTTTCTGAGTTACCACACTCTGTCAGCATTCATATAATTCCAAACTATTATTATATCAACAACAAACTTCATAGTGAAGATGATATAATAATTATTCAATTATTCACCAGACTTCATATAGTAATATTTGTGACTATCTGATTTGAAAAGCTGAAACTTATTTTTATCAGATCAGAAAATCAACCACCAATTATTGATTATGAAATTTCAATATTTTTTTGCCTAAGCAAATTGATATTTTTGATATATCTTTTGAGTATCAGCTTTTTGCATTTAATTTTTGAGAATAGATCATTTCTCCAGAATATTTGCCATATGTTCTCTATGAAAATATTAATTTCAAGTTCAAATTTAAATTTAAATATGTCTCTATAATAATAAAAATACTAATAACTGAATAGTATATTATTACAAATTTGTTCACTAATTATTAAATTAGCTTACAAACTTGAATCTAGTTGGAAAAGAGTGATAAATTAATAAAATTATTAAAAGAAAAAGAGAGGTATCTAAGATTTATACCAATTTCTATGAAAATTATATTTACTTAAAATGAATAATAATATAAAAAAGTTATAAGAAAATAAAGATCAAAGAAAAAGAGTATAAAAAATAGTAAAGAAAATTTCAAAGGCTAATTTTTTGTACTTGTGTAAAGCTTTTTAGAGCTAAGATAATATAATTAGTAATAACAATAATAAAGACTCTTTCACTTTGTTCTTTTCACAAGTGAGAAATATTTATTAATAATCAAAAATTCAAATAATAAAAATTCAATTTCAATAATTCTAATATAGTAATTTTAGCATAATATGATATAAAGCTTAATAATCCAATAACAGTAATTTGCTAGGTGCAATATAATATAAAGTTTGAAGTCAATAATAATAATTTGCTTAGCACAATATAATATAAAGCCATTAGCAATTTGTTAGATACAATATGATATAAGATCACTTATACACAAGATTTAAAGTATATAAAGAAAATATAAGAGACAAAAGATATTTAAAAGAAGATTTTTGTTAAGAGGGATTTTTATTTTCAGTTACAACATGTCAAGTTAAGGCTCAAACAACATTTTTATTTATATATTTTTCAAAAATACAATTTTAAATAATAATAACTATCTAAAAGATAAAATAACTAATTGAAAAGATATAATAAAAGTAAAAAGTAAAATAAAAGATAAGATAAAAGGTAAAAAGTAAAATAAAAGATAAAATAAAAGGTAAAAGATAAAATAAATGGTAAAATAGTAAAATAAAAGATAAAAATTAAAATAAAAGATAAAATAAAATGTAAAAAGTAAAATAAAAGATAAAAGATAAAATAATTTGAGAGATCTTTGCTATTATATGAATATTTTTATGTTTTTCAACTATTTTTGGAATTAACAATTTTTATATTACTACTGTAACAATATCTTTTATAGCAGTCAATTAAAAGATGTGGATGACCAGTTTCTTCTAGATTATTAAAGGTTCCAGTTTCTTTCTTTTTTTACAAATTTGTAGGACTGATACAAGGTTCACCTGCTTTGAAGCAGAAATTTTCCATATTGAATAATCTTCTTCTCGTAATGTAAATATTTGTGAGCATTTTTCTTGAGAGATTCGAGGCATTTTTCAAATAAAATATGATTAGAATTATTATTTAGAATGATTAAAAGTAATTTACAAAAATTAAAGTAATAATAAGAGCTTTTATACTTATCTTTGCTGTTTCTAATTACTTATAC